GACACCATCCCAACCGATCGATTTCCAGACAGCGACCTGGCTACGCATCATGCAACAAAATGATGCAATCACCATGATCAATGCAACTACATTTCTTATATAACTACCTTGCTACCTTCCACAATTTTTCTACTCCCTTTTATATGATGCACCAGCCATCCACAATTTTTCTTTTTTTCTTTTTTTCCCCCCCACTCCATGCACTCGCAAGTGTCTTGGCCCTTTCTTCCGTTTCATCCGGAAGCGATCGCATAACATTCCTTGGCCTGATTTATCTCTTCTGCACCAAATGCTCGGTACCATCCAGGTCCCAACTTTGTGTCACGTTTGCATCCATTGAGTCGAATCTTCGATTCCCGTTTCCAAATCCGGTCCCTAATTCTAGTTACCAAGCTTACGATGCCAAACCTACATCTCTTACTTACGTATGGAGGACTGGCATAATCTTGTTTGGTACAAATTCGTAGTATGCAATCATCCTATGCCAATCACGCTAGATATCGAGTCATGAAGTGGAGGCGGCGCCTGGTAATCCGTAGGATTACTTGATCTACCTGATGGGGAGGAACTCACGCTCCCTACAATAATCACCTCAATTGATCTATCTGATGGGGAGGAGTTGGCACCCCCTACAAAAATCAAATCCAGTGACAATCAGACCATTAAGACCGTTGTTTATTCTAGTGAGGATGAATCAGATATAGAAGACGTTCTGCTAGGAAATTGGGACCTCATTGGACAAACTTTCCTTCTCTCACCAGATGAAAGTTATGTTCGACGTGCCAAGATTGTTGAGCTTAACTACAAGCACAACCGCAACAAGGACATTGAGCCTGCACATATTCAACTATGCCTGAACATTGACAAAGGTGAATATGAACGTGTCATGGCTTACCGTAACATCCACAAGTGGTCAGAAATTGACGCAGACACCCCCATTGTTTGGAATCTCAAGTGGGTTGTATGCTGCCATCACTACATTCGACTTGAACACCCTTCTTACCTGGGTCTGACCTTTTGTATGGCCATTGGATGGAAACATGGGGAGAATACTCCAGAAGCACTGAGCATCACTGGAGCCGATGACTCAGTGACCTACACTATACATGCCAGAAATCACAACCTGTTGGAAAGTCAAGGTTGTAAACCTCTTGGAAATATAGTCAAGGACAAGAAGAAACTTCTTTGTCCATCCAATCAAGTCAAGCTGAGATTGCTACACACTACTTCACCAAAGTGTATGTTGAATGGAACCTCAATTGATTTCTTATCTAAGGAGCAGCCAACTGTTGAGACTGCTACTTATGATTCTGAGCCTGTAGCCACTCAAACCTGTGCCAAACAGATCATGGATCTCCAACAAACCTTGAGGTACCTTGGTGTGTCGATCAGAGGTCAAAGCTACATGTCTGGTGACAATGAATCTGTCATGAACAGTTCTTCCCTACCTGAAGCGAAGCTACACAATCAAGATGTTGCATTGTCATTCCACCGTGTGAGAGAAGCAGTAGCAGCTAACATGCTATCTATTATCCACATTGACAGTGCTCTCAACCCAGCTGATATTCTCAGCAAACATTGGGGTGATCAGCAAATCTGGACACTACTACTGACTCTAATGTTCTGGTCTGGGGATACTGCTGAACGAGAGGACTAGGTCCTCACTTCATCCCATTTGGGGAGTGACAGAATTCTAACAGGAACGGGACTTGTGACTCAACCTATAGGATTCCCAGGTTGAAGTGTAGCCTGTGCGCCGCACGCATCACACGTGTGCAAACTGTTACACGCCATTAATTTAGCGTAGAAAAGAACTGAGTCAGCAGTTCTCTGACAAATCATAGGATTTGCATGGAAAAGTGATGGATCATCGCTTTTCTCACTGCATGCTTTTTACTTGGATTGATATCGATCAACTTGTAGGAACTAGTCAACTATAGGCTTATAGTCTATACTCATTTATTTCTGTCAATGCTGAGGTCATAGTGGAGTAAGCATGCGGTGAACATGCGGCTCCACCGATGCATGGCAACGCTGGGGGTCAGATTCGGTGGTATGGGTTGTTGGAGGGGTCGGAAGTCCACAAAGCGGTGTTCTTGGATGAGAAGGGAGAGGAGATGGATGGATGGGCACACGTGGAAGAGGGTTGCAAGGTCGGTCTGGCTCAGGTACCAGGGTAGCGGCTCTTCAGCAAAAATATCCAGGTATGTTCAAACTTATGCTCTGTACTGAACCACCTGTCCAGGCTGTCCTTACCATGCGGAGAATTGACGGCAAGAAAAACCGGGGATGGGAGTTTGGTGGCTGCCCAGGCCTCGCGGTCGCGTTTGGTCATGGATGGGGTAGACGGACGACCTTGGACGGAGACTTCAAGGAGCTCTCCAAATTTTTCTTGCTCTGCGTCAGTGAATTGGTAGTACTGGGAATTGGGAGGCAGGGCGGACCGGTGGTGTGCTGAGGGCGTTGCCGAAGGTTGGCTCGGTGGAGGGGTGGAGGTGGAAATGTGGAGCAGGTTGGGTTGGTTCGACATTGGTGGCTGGGTCAGTTGGTAAACGAGGCTGCTTGGGTGAGGGATGATGCATGTAGAGCACTCAGGAAGGAAGTGGAAAGTAAGTCACTGACGGGTTGAATGGTGTTTAAGTAATGGAGTTGGTGGAACTAACCATGAGGCTTTGGGGCCGAACGGGTCACCCCAGGGGTTTTTTCAATGAATTTTTCAAATGCCTGGGTGTCGGCAGATCCCATAGTTGCTGCAAACTGTTTGGTGTAATGGATATTGTGGCAGCGGGGGCGGTTGCAATGGTAGTTGGCAAATAGGAAATGGGAACAGAAGTCTGCCTGTTTGCCGGTAATGGGGTGTTTACATTTGAAAGGGGCAATTGGAAGTTGGCCTAGGCCGTCATACATCAGGTATCCGGGATGAGTTCCTTGAGGTGGGTGCTTTGCGCGTTTGGTTGGGTCAGGCCATTCACGGGAATTGGGGCTCTCACGTTTGGGAGCGGGGGTTGGTTTTCCAGTGAGAATAGCATGCAGGTTGGGGCATGTGCCGTATGGGCCAAGGTTGCCCATACTGATGGAGAGATTGATGTGGCTGATGGCTTGTGTGACTCCACTGAAAGCGTTCACGAACGTGTCTGCCATGATCGGTTGGCCATTACAAAGTTTACTTTGAGTCGTTTTGTTTTTGGCGGCTCCCACACAATGGGAGGTGTGGGACTACGGCATTGTAACGGATCCAATCTTTGGCAGCAGGTGTGTGGAGGGCGTTCATGAAATCCTCCAAGAGTGTGACAATTAATGGGGGGTCATCGAAGGTAAAGTCTTCGACACAGTATTTGACAAAGGCAAAGAAATTTGCTAACATCTTGATCAGAGCTTTGACAGAACTGATGTCGCCATGAACAAAGATGTCTGTCTTTTTCGCGGCTTGCTTGGACTTGTCTTCTTCCATGGCTTCCTGGCGGATTATGTCTCGGCCTTCCGAGAGGAAAGTGGTGTACCTGACATCATTTTTGTTC